TCGCGATCCGTTCTTCTATCTCTTCGTTCATTTCGTTTTTGTTTGTAATTACTACTCCTAGATATTTGAACCTATTTACTTCTTCGAATTCGTATGCTGTTCCTTCTTCTGTAGTTACTTTCAGTGGTTTTGCTGGAGTTTGTTTTGTTTCCATCTTCATAAACTTCGTTTTCTCTTGGTTTATCGCTAAACCCATTCGTTTCGCTTCTCTGATTAGATTTTTTGTCATTTTTTTCATTTCTGCTTCTGTTCTCGTTATACATGTCACGTCATCTGCAAAGGCTATATTTTGGTGTTTTTTTTCGTATATCGTGCTCGTTCTGTGGATGCCACTTCTCCTTATTATTGCTTCTAGTACTAGATTGAACAGGGTAGTTGATATTGGATCTCCTTGCCGGAGTCCTGTTCTTACTTGGAATGGTTCTGACAACAGACCATCTATCCTGACTCTGTTTCTGGTGCTCTGCAGGGTCATCTTTGTCAGTTTTATTAGTTTTCTTGGGACTCCCAGTTCTTGCATGGCTTCTAGCAGTTCTTTCCTGTTAACCGTGTCATAGGCTTTTTTAAAGTCTATGAACAGCAGATATAAGTTGATTCCCTGTTCGTAATGTACTTCTTGTAGTTGCTTCAATATAAATATCTGGTCTACAGTAGATCTATTTTTCCTAAACCCTGCTTGATATTCTCCTACTATTTTTTCCATATGCTGCTTTAGTCTTCGGTTGATGCAAGTGGCCATTACCTTATACGTTACATCTAGCAGCGCTATTCCGCGATAATTTTCGCATTTCGTAATATCTGCTTTTTTAAATATCGGGCAAAGTACTGCTTCACTCCATTGTTTTGGCATTTTTCCTTCCTTCCAACATTCTAGCACTAGTCGATGTATCTCTGATGCTAGTGCTTCTCCTCCGTACTTTAGCATCTCGCCCTTTATTCCGTTTCTACCAGGACTTTTGTTGTTTTTCATCTGCCTTAGTGTTTCTCTGATCTCTCCTTCGTCAATTTCTGCTGTTTCATCTGGGTCATCCGAGTCGTTCACTCTATCGTTCGTATCTTGCTGTGTATCCTGTTCGTTTAGCAGCTCTTCAAAGTATTCTGCCCATCGTTTTATTCTTGCTTGTTCGTCTTCTATCAGGTTGCCGTCCTTGTCTTTACTATATATTACTCGTGGCTGATAGCCTTTTTTCTCTTTTTTCACTTCCTGGTAGAAGTCCCTTATTTCATTCTTGTTGAAGTTTTCTTCTATTTGTCGTATTTGTTCTTCCATCTTTGCTCGTTTCTTATTTCTGCATATCTTCTTGTACTCTTTCCTTTTTTCTTGGTAATCTTTTTGGTTCTTCTCATCTTTTGATTTTAGATATTTCTGTCTGGCTGACCTCCAAGCTTCTATTGCTTTTCTACATTCCTCGTCAAACCATTCGTTTCTATTTTTGTTGTCTTTTTTGACGAACCCTAGTACTTCTTCCGAGGTCTTCCATATGTTCTCTTGTAGTTCTTCCCACCTCTCTTCTATAGGTATATCTTGCTCTGTTGATCGTATTCTCTCATTCATCTTTTGTTCGTATTCCTGTTGTACTTCAGCTTTCTTAAGTTTGTTTACATTTTATATCACGTTGCGTCTTCTTTCCTTCTTTTTTCTTCGGTATTTCTTGTTTGAGGTCTGCTCTTACTAGAAAGTGGTCTGAATTCGCTTCTGTTCCCCTGTAGCTTCTTAATATTAGTTGGGCATCTCTCCTTTCTACAAATATGTGGTCTATTTGGTTGACCGTTTTTCCGTCAGGCGACATCCATGTGCCTTTGTAGATCTCTTTCTGCGCAAAGAAGGTGCTTTTGACTACCATTTTATTTTCTTCTGCAAACTCTATCAGTTTTTCTCCATTTTGATTCGTTTTTTGGTGTTTGCTTTCTTTCCCGATTGTTGGCCTGTAGCAATTCTCTTTACCTATCATTGCGTTGGCGTCTCTTATAACCATTTTAATGTCATGCTTTGGTATTTTCACATATTCTCTTTCTAGTTCTTCGTAATATTCTGTTTTTACTTCTAGATCTTTCTCTTCAGTCGGTCCATGTATATTCAGTAGGCTTATTTTCTTGTACTTACTTCTCAATCTTATCTAGCTCATTCTTTCTGAGATTGGTTTGAAGGTAATTACTGCTCCTTTCAGGCTCTTCTTCACCATGAATCCTGTTCCTAGTTCTCTGTTGTTAATTCCGCTATTAAATAATATGTAGTTATCTACGAGTATTTCAGTGATGAATTTGCCTTTTTGTTTCGTCTCTTATATAGCTGCTACATCTATATTATACCTTTGTAATTCTTGAACTATTTGTTTGAGTTTTCCTTCGCTATATGTTCCTCGAACATTCCATGTTCCTATTCTAATTTTCGGGTTTTTCTTTCTCTTCGTAATTCCTCTGTTAGTTTTTTGGATTTTCTTTGGGGTGCGACGGTGGTTTCACTAATTTGTCTAATTTAGTGTCCCAATGCCAGACTTCTCCTGCCCATATCATCTTTTTGTACCCTACTTTTGCCTCGACTCCTTTCCCTTTTTCTGCTGCTGCTATTCCTCTTATTTTCTTCTGTATCTCGCTCTCTTGTTTGGTGTAATCGTCTTCATTAAACGTTTCTGATCCTTTTAATTTGTTCTTCTGTTTCATGATTGCTCTTTTTGTGTCCCAGTTCTCTATCTTTGCTACTACTATGTCATATTTTTCGCTGACTAATCTTGCTTCTTGTATCTTAGTTTGGATTCCTACCTTATTTTTTAGGAGTTCTTCAACCTCTGCTGTTATTTCGCTTCCTTGTAGTTTCCCTCCTTTGATTACGATGTTGTTTCTCCTTTCTGCTTTTTCCAGTTTTTCTAAGTGTTGCTCCACTCTTTCTAATCTTTCGGTCAGTCTTTGGTTTTCTTCTCTTAGTGTTGTTACTTCTGTTTGGTATGCTCTTTGATCTCTTTTCATTTCTGCGATTTCCTCCATTAACGTTTTGAACATATTCTTTACTTCGTTCATGTCTCCTACTTGTACCCTCTTCTGCTTCCTCTGTATTCTTTGACCTTCCGGTGATGGTGAAAAGGAGGTTTCTCTTTTTCGTTTCTGGTTGTCTTATTCTTCTACTGCTAGTTTGTGTCCTTTTTTCGGTTCAGGATTCCCGTTTAGCATTCCCTGGCCGACTTTCTTGCTTCCTGTGTATCTAGTACGTTCCTGTGTTGTTTACTTCGCGCCGCGATAAGAACGGTCACCCAGACTATCTCTTCGGAGGTTAGGTTCTTTTGATTCCACACTTTCCCGAATAATTGCTGTCCTTACACTTCTTATTGCTTCTTACTCTTATTCCACTTCACTTCTTTGTTTTCTACTACTTTTCTTTCGCTTTTGACGCTCGATATCTCTCGATTTTCGAGTTTGGATTTCGGAGCGTGCTCTGCTTATCGTAGTCAGGACCGTACTGTTTTAAATTTATGGTAAACATAATAACTTTTTAATCGAATTATATTCGCTTATCCCCTCCAAAAAATTGATGGCGTCATCTCAAAGTTTTGCCGGATAAATACTATCTAAAATATGCAAAATATGATCAGTCTATACTTGTGATTTATCAATGCATTCATATTTTTTAGATTTACTTAAACAGGGTGGCTCAAAAAAATCAGTGACTGAGTTATTAAAAAATAAACATCCACTCAGATTTAGGAACTCGTTACTATGGAAATTTGCCATTTAACACCTTTTAAATTTAACAAATTTTTACAAGTTTAATAGAGACAAAATCAGTCTTATATTAGCAAGTCCTCGCCCCGCCCACCCGCCCTCTATTTTCTCAGAGGATATGGCATTTGCCAAAATCAGTCTTATCTTAGCAAGTACTAGCCCCGCCCACCCGCCCCTATTTTCTCAGAGAATATATCATTTGCCAAAATAAGATTTATCATAGTAAGTACTAGCAAGTACTACCTCCTGAGAAAATAAAGGGCGGGAGGGCGGGGGTAGTTCTTGCTAACATAAGTCTTATTTTGGCCTCTTAGTAGGTACTTGGTAAGATAAGACTGATTTTGGCAAATGATATATCCTCTAAAAAAGCAAAGGGTGGGTGGGCGGGGCTAGTACTTGCTAAGATAAGACTTATTTCGGCAAATGACATATCCTCTGAGAAAATAGGGGGTGGATGGTTGGGTCTAGTACTCGTTAAGATAAAACGGATTTTGCCCTTATAGTAGAGTGCCGTAAGGTTTATACATCGGAACCTCTGAACGGAGTTCAACCTTTTGGAATGTGTTTTTAACAGTAAATGCTAAAATGTTTACACACTTATTTTTGCTGATCTCAATTTTATTATTATTTCAACAAATAATAATAATTTTTTCAGAGTTTTCATTCATTTTCTATTAAAAACTCGAAATTTTTTGTTCTTAAAGTTAGTTTTTTACATAGGATAACTAGTACAAAGTCGTCCTTGGGGCCTCAGGTAAAAAGGTCAGAAGGAGAAGGGATTATAGAAGTGACAACAGTAGATATTTGACGTCGTGTGCAACATAATACTGTCGTTTCCAAAAAATTTCGGGGAAATGACATTGACATGAAAGTCATATTCCCATTGCTTTTCATTGATCTATAAAGCGCTGATTTGGTCAACTTGTCCGCAATTTTTTGGAAACGATTGTAGTACACGTTGCAACTAGCGGGTGTTCAATTGAAAAATCATTTAGAGTAGGCTTTGGAATATCATTTGACAGAATCCTTTACTTTCCTAAAAGGTATGTCATTTGCCAAAATCAGTCTTATCTTAGTAAGTACTAGATTAAACAAGTTCATGATTTTTTTCCATGTGTTTTTTGGAATGGTACTAATTACTTTTTCTATAATATTTTTATGGGAAACATTACAAAAACGACTCATTTTAACTTTATTGACATTCAAAGTGTAGCTGAAAAATCGCCATTGAAAACTTGTTCAAAAAATCATTGTACAGTTATAACAGTTGCAAAACTAAATTTAAGTTTCTATAAAAATATTTATTGAACAAATTACCACTAAAATAAAACTTTTAAAATTAATGCTTAGAAAGATTATAAACCTTTATTTCAAGGCAGGTGTTTGCCATTAGAACAAAGTGTTTAAAAATAATGTTTGACAAAGATTATGACTATCATTTTAAGAACAAAGTATCGAATCCTATTTTGTACGTTTGGCAAACACCTCTACATTTCTAGTTCCAAATTCATCGAGAGTGTTGGTCACGATTTCACGGATAAGAGGGTCGACTATCTGATCCGTCTTCAAAGCACAAGCGTATACAAAACCGTTAGTTGCCACACTATTATCAATAAGTTGCAAAGACCAACTACTTCTTATTGTTTCCAGTATATCCACAGTACAAATGTCGTTCAAAAATTCAGCATCCACTTTGATTTTCTTGTCATAGATATTGTTGTATCCGAAAAATATGGCACCAAACTGGAGATCGGGCAAATAAACTATCTTCCAAAACCAGCGCGGAACTGGAAAGCGACCATTTTGGAGATAAAGTTCCACTGGAACTCCGCTCCGGTTGTTCAAAGTAGCCACTTTTAACGTTCCAGTTAACACCGTAGCTTTATCACCAACATCTCCACTAGCCACCAAATCTATAACTGCCTGTTCCAATGCATACCAATTAGATTCATCAAAAGTATTCCATTGAGGAGCTACATTAGCTAAATTGTACGTCGCGTCCTTTTGAAAAGGATACAGTAATTCATCACTTGAAGCGAGATGTCCTTTCTGCAAAAAGTACGATTCGTTGAGGTACTGAGCAACGCCCAGTTCTTCAAACGAGGACTCAATGTCGGTGTAGACACGAGGCACATCTCCAGAAATTAAATCCCCAGAGAAAAAATATTTGCTCGGCGGTGACCGATAATTTTTGATCAAACTTGTCCACTTAGTGATGGTGTATTTGGCGTAAACTGGAATGTTTTCGTACATTTTATAACATATTACAAGCACTCGAGCAAATTCGCGATTTATATTGTAACCCACTTCGACAGGTCTGGAACCGCCTTCACATCGTATGTCGGGATTGCTGTAAATTTCTGCCAAGGCTGGTCTTGCTGGGTCGGTTAAAGTACAAGTCAAGTTTTTGTGGGTTATATATTGAAACTGGCCATTGAGAAAACCACCACCTCTACAATTTGCTACTTGACCGTCAACGTTATAACCTGGAGCGTTAAACTGTCCTCCGGGACAAGCCCAATATACTGGAAATCCGTGATCAACTTTAATGTAACTATTTCCTTGCACATCAGGAAATTGGTAATTCCTGTCGACAATCAAAAACGAGGAAGGAGTGCTTGGTAGTTCAATGTTACAAGCTGAAATAAATTATATATTTGTAAAATCTATTCTAGGACAGCTTTAATTATTTTCTAGAGCTGGATTTTGTACTTCAGTAGGATTATTGTCAATAAAGAGAATATAAATTAATTATTAATAAACACCTATTACTTATTACAATAATATTAAGAGGAAAAGCCGATTTAAAAAAAAAACTTACGTGGTATTTCAGGTATCCCATGAGACTGAGCTACACTTTCTTCTGTATGTGTAGCAATCAATACAAAAACAGCCACTGCAATACTATTAAATGATGTTATTTTAAGCATCTTGATAAATGTTACTAAAATTTTCGGTTTCTGTGTGTATATATATACCAACTCCCACTAAATTAATACAAATTTACATACAATGCGGTGCGTTATAGAATCGGAATTAAAGAATTTATCTTAATCCTTCAGACTAGTTATAAAAAATGTATCTAAATTTTAATCAACAAAATTAAGGTTTCATATTAAAAATGTAGCGGATCAGTTTGACTTTCTTTGACTTCTTTTTGCTTCCCGAAGATAAGCTAAACAAGTATTGTAATCGAGTCCATCGGACGACTGGTACTTTTATGTGTTCTCAACATTTCGTAATCCCTAGAGTACGAAAACATAGCTCCCTCGTTTCCGTCTGTCTGTCGGTCGTGTGTCCGCATATGTGTAGATTTTTCAATAAAATAACACTTGCCCACTTGTAGTTTACGAATTGTGTTAAGTTTTTAGCCTAGGCATTCAAGCTTTTGAAAAAAACAAAATTTTATAAAACCATTTTTCAATTTAACTTTGAAATTGCAAAACGAATAAATCCTACAGAAAATATATAAAATGTTCTATACTTGTAATTTATGCTTTTTACAATTACTTATACAGGTAATTAAAAACAAGTTAATATAAAATTTTTGATAAACTCACTTGAAACATACGCATTGCATACTTCTTTACCTGTATTTAAACACAAAATTCCTAAAATAAAACTTATAAGCTAAATTAATTAATCTAAGCTAAATAAGCTTAGATTAATTTTTTGTACATGTCATCTATTCTGAGGGATATTGTTTCGCATGATACTCGATTACTTTTAAACCAATAAGCGGATTTAAGTTGATAACGATTTTTATAAATAATAATAATTTTTGTTTCCAATCGCTATAAGGTGGGGCAAAAATTTGTGTAAGCTGACTATTATCGGGATGTATTCACTTCGTTGAATTAAGACGATCGATTCTAAACATTTTGTTAATTTAATTATAAAAAATAATTCCATTTGATTGATTAGCACATTATTTCGCAATGGGGATTTTACAGAAAACGTTTTAAATGTTGGAATGAACATATTATACTGATTAGAACCAACTCAATAAAATTTAATAATGATTCGATAGTCGAAACTTTGTTATACATATTTATTGTTGTTATAGTTTTCGTTATATTTAAATCACTAGCACTGCCAGATTAGAACAGATATGCAAGGTGAGTCACCAAAGCCACTCTCTCGATATCTCGTTAATTATTGTTTAAAGAAAAAAAAATGCCCAAACTTATCTTTGGGCAGTATTACTAAGAATTATTTTCAGTTACAGGGTGTTTTGTCTTTTAAGCGCAACATAAAACTTAGTTTTCTGAAAGCGAATTCGCACATTCAAATAGTCCTCTTCCTAAACTTCAAAGTTTATTTTGTTTTTGAAGATTCCATTTTTTTTCATTTTTACTTCCCGAGCGTAAGCAAAGGAAGTATTGTAATCGAGTTCGTAGGCCGACTCTCTACTTTCACTTTTTCTCGACCTTTCATGACCCCTAGAAGACGAAGAAATAGGTTTCCCCTTTCCGTCTGTCTGTCCGTTTGTCCGTCTGTCTGCCGTCCGGAACTTGTATTAGACAGATAATCTCCGAAAGTACTTGACCGATTGTTGTGAAATTTTGTATTTATATTAGGAATATCATGTAGATGGTAAAACGCTAACCAAAATTTGCCTAATCATCCCCACCAATAATGTTGTGATGTCACTTCAAAATTGTACGTAGTAGATGGGTTTTAGGTTATATAAAATAACATGTAGTTTATGACTCCGATTGAGTTTTTACCCGAAACGTCCAGATTTTTTGAAAAAGATCAAAACTATGAAACAACATTTGGAAATTTAATTTGGAATCTGTAAAACCGAATGCTTTGGAATCTTGCAAATGATTTACAGTTATGATAAGCAGGATAAATCTTTATTCAAAATAAGTATATGTACTTGTCCCCCCTAAAAAATTGATGACATCACCTCAAAATTTTGCTAAATACATCCTACCTTAAATGTACAAAGTATGATGAGACAATACTTGTGATTTATCATCTCATTCATATTTTTTGGATTTGCATATACAGGGTAACTCAAAAAAATTAATGAATGCGTGAATTTATTTATTGATTTAATCAGGAACTACAAAACCGAATGCTTTGGAATCTTGGAGATGTTTTACAGTTATCTTAAGCATGGTAAATTTTTAATAAAAATGTATTTGCTCATCCCCCTAAAAAATTGATGACGTCGCCCCAAAATTTTGCTGAATATGTCCTATATAAAATGTACAAAATATGAGTGTGTACTTGTGATTTATCATTCCATTCATATTTTTTAGATTTGGTTAACAGGTCGCTCAAAAAAGTTAATGAATGAGTTAGTTTATTTTATTGATTAAATCAGGAATAGTCCACTCCATTTTCCCGAAAATTTGGAGATACAACATTGTTATTATTAGTATTACATTGCACCAACCCAATTTGACAGATACAAAATTTTGTAAAGTAAAAACTCATTTGAAACATAGGCGTAGCAAACTTATTTACATTTACTTTAACATTACAGACCACCAATTGTGAATTACACCATCAAAAATTAAAATAAAATCCAATATGTTATCTAATAATAAGCGGAAGTCGAAGCAATAAAAAAGTCTGGGCGACCATCGGTATTGTTTGCAGTTTCTCTGTTTGACTCTCAAGTGTTACCGCTTGTTGTTTTAAATTAAGAGTGCTTATACATAAATGATTTTGAGTAGCCTCTGCTAATACACGCAGCATACGTGAGTAAACTGTTTCGTTATTTTATTGATTATAAATAATTTTAATATTCAAGACGACCTAATTCATTTTCCCGAAAATTTGGGAATACATTTACTTTTCTATCCAAACTGATATACGTGTCCTTGCAAAAATGTTGATGACGTCATCGCAATTTTTTTTAAATTGCTCCGCTATAAGAATGTAACGAGAAAAAAACATAATAGGCGTGCAGTCGTCATGTTTCCGAAAGCGAGGGAAGTATTGTCTAAACTCTTTAGACCAATTTTTTAGTTTTGCTTAAACAAAAGAATTAATAAATGAGTCAATTTATCTTGTTGATTAAATACGAATGGTTCACTTCATTTTCTCAGAAAATTTTGGGAGTACAATACTGTTGTTTTTAATATTGCAATCCAAGTTGATATACGTGTCCGGTAATACCCTGTGACTACTTTTCTTTTGTGCTGTGACTAGTATTATCCATGTTGATGACGTCAGCACAAATTTTTTATTGGTCAAATTAAGAACGAGTCACTAGATTCTCTCAAAAATATGAAGAATACAAATAAATTATATAAAATAATAAAATACAAATGTATTTATATAATAATATTAATGACAACAATAATAATTCTCGAATTCCCCTTTTATAAGATGGAATCAAGTATTGTTTTATAAAAATGTGGCATAAAATCAAAGCAACAAACTAAATCATAGAATACACAAACGATTATTTTTACAAGTTTAAATTTTTTTATCATATTTTTTTTTAAATTTTCATTTGTTTATAACGTAATCTTGTGCTAAAATTTCTGAACGGCAGATTTTTCATATCAACCGACTTGCTTAAACCTATATGAATTAAAGACAATATTTAAATGAAATATTCATGTGTTCAATCTTCATTTTGCGTATATATACGTAATCACCTATTATAATCTTTACATGATTAACAGGATGTTGTTTTGATAAAATCAGCTTCATTAGCAGAGAACGGCGAAGCCGTTTTAATTCATAGCCGTACACACAGTTTTCGCAGCGCGCTCAAGGTCTAGAGCTCGCTCGAGATTTTCTTCTGTAAAACGTGTTCTTTTGGGGGTTAATAAGTCTTTCAGTTTAGAACATGAACGATCCACGTCACAACTGGTTGTGGGACTGTAATTAAAAAATGAGAGGAAATTTTAAGATGTATTTTGTTCTAATGTTTGGCTGTGTCATGCCGTCGCAAACTTGATGCAGTGTTTAAACCGGGAGTGCTACTAAAAACAGATTCTACTTTCATTTTTAACTTCTTCCCAAATTCACCTGGAAGCCTTTTAAATTGGGTCACAATATTTTGAAATTTTGATAAAGCACCATGCAACTTTAAAGTTTCAGAGTGCAAATAACCTATAGTTTTCGATGAATCTTGACAATTTTGTGCAATGTTAAATATTATAAAAAAAAATATAAAATGCTGCTTCTATTAAAAATGAAATAAAAAAATCACAATAAGATTCGTAAAAATGAAAAGTATACTGAAAAACCTCCACACAGATATATATAAATAAAAAGAAACTCAAATATTAAACACATTTTTGTTACTAATTTGCTATTTTACAAATGAACACTGCCCCGACTGCGCCACTTCTAAGCGTTTAATCTGCAAGGAGTACTCGACGCCTATGTACAGGTGCGTATTGCACCTGAAAAACAAGCGATAAGACTGCGATGCAGTGTAGTCGGCCAACGAATTGATCGACACCGTGCCGCACTGGTCATGTGCATACATGTGATGGTCCGCACAGTTCTCAACTCCAAGGTCGCCGCCCTTTGTTCATTAGTAATTAAATTTTTATCACTTGATGCATGTCAATAATATGAAGTGTTATTTCGCATGATAATTGATTACATTTAGACATATGTATATAATGATTTAGGCTGATAAACTTTTGTAAATTATTCATTTGTTTTTGTTGTTTTATAAGTTGCAGCGATTAGATTTTAATTATGATATGAAGATAAAAAATACCACACCGATTTCTTAGAACATTCAAAATTAAACGAGTTCTGGTTATGCAAGATTTAATCATTTCGATTACTCAGATGCAAAGAAAAAAAACACCCGTGCAACAAAATCGAACTAATTCAATTTCTTGCAAAAATTCAAAAATTTTCTTAAAAATAGATATAGACATTTGTTCCACATGTTTAAGTCCGGAGATGGAGCCAATGTGAAAAAATGTAAAATTTAAACCCTCTATTATATCTGGATCTTTATCCACATTTGAAAATTGTCCTCCAAAAATTTTACTTACAAGCGACAAGGGATTAAAAAATTTAAATTGGGCAATGCAGTTTTTAATAAAATTGTATTCTCAACATTTTTTTTAACATTATTGAATAAATCATTTACTGCTGGAAATACATTTCTAATGTCCTCAGCCATACCATTTATACCATAAGCTAAGCATGTAATATGGATTAAGCGGGGAAAAAATATTTTTAGGTTGGATGAAGCTTTGCACATGTGTGGTAGCAGCTTCTGATGACATTAAGATGATGTTTTCAACTGGAACTGGTTCCGGAAGAAAAAAGTTCGTTAAACCTTCATAAATAAACGTTGTAATGTTATTATCATTTGTCTTTTCCAAAGCTATTGTGTTAATTAAATATGCCACATTTTTTACTGGTCAAAGTTCCTATCAACAAATTTACGACATAACGTCCACATGAATCGGTTGTTTCATCAACATGAAAATAAATTAGGTTATCGCCTATAATTTGACGGATAGCATGCTTTGTTTTTTGAAACACTTTGTCCACGTGGTTTTTTCTTAAGGTACTCTCATCGGGAACTGACTTCATGCTACGCTTTTTAAGAAATGATCTTAACTTGGGGTTATTCAGTTTTGATAAAGGAATATCTGCACACAACTCGAAACAATATTCTTGTTAATCTGTTATCTTCTTGGTGGTACAAGCAGATGTTGTGACTTCACATTGTTTGAATTCTTCAGCTTATTTTTGTGAAGACTTGTCCTAATATCTTAAGTTATCGAAAAGTTCTTTTCACAGTAGACCTGAACAATAAAATTAAATCATATTGTGCATGCTTTACTTCTCGCGTTTAAATGAAAGCGATAAGATATCAATAAATTAAAGCAACTGTTTGAAAATGTGAAATTCAAAAATATAGAACGATTAAAATTTGGATACCTTACTTAACTTTTATAACACACTCGGCAAAAACAGATTGAAAATTTTCATCTAACGCTAGTTCGGGATACCTTTTCATCTAGCCGTGGACACTTGCAGAAAGCTTTGGCATTCTAGACTCGAAGTTCATTTCTCAGTACCAAAATAAAGACTAACAAAATTAAGAATGAAATAGATAAATGACGAAATAAATACTTTCCACTTGACGAGTTAAATAAGGGAGAATTAGGATAATTTTAAGCCGGATGCGGCCTATTCTACTTAATACAATTTTTATCCCTTCATTCATGTCAACGATTTTGAAGTATCGTTTCGTGTAGTCCATTCCCAATTTTCTGGATAGGGGGTGGCTGTGGTTATGTTTTTGTATGTTGGAAAATAGTTATTTATATATCAAGAGAGCAAAGTGAAACATTTCCTCCTGCGGATTCAGATTGAGGCCCGACGCGTAGCGGAGGATCTTAAGAATCCGAGGGAGGAAATGGCACTTTGCTCAAGTGATATATATATATATATATATATATATAATATTTTTTCTTCGAACGAACGTTTAAAATCAATTTTATAAGTTTAAATGAGAGAAAAAAAAATTAATCGCATTTGAACAAAGCGTCTCGTGAATTGTAGTTTTGTGTTTCTTAAAACGCATTAATTTTGGAAAAAATGGGGGCTTTGGATGAAAGTAGTGCTTCAGATAATAATTGTACCCGTCCAGACGTTTTAGAAGTAGCAAGTTTATAAATTTATAAACGTCATTTTTGACAAAAATGTAGGGGAAACCTACCTATGATGGCATACTTAACTTTGACACCTTAGTATAACCTCATCTATGATATTAGGGATTTTTTGTGGGTAATTTAAACGAACAATTATTAGGCAATACTCTTCAAATGATGGCACACCCTAATTTTTAGAGGTTTTTTTAAGTAATGTTAATTTTTATTAAGAATTGACGCGTTATTATGAAAATAATAAAATAGATTTAAAATAAAGGACTACAATTTGTAGCAAAACGAATCAACAAACGAATAAACTAAATAGAAATCGTCAAATAACGAAACATTAAGGCAAAACTTATCAAAAAAAGTTATTCACAAAGTTCGGAGATGAATTGCTCGATTCTTTTTTCAACACCCGCGCACTCATTGTGCCACCAGGAACCACAACTCTGACATGAAATCCACATTTCTCTTGTTTTCGACCTAGAGAATATATCATTGCAATATAAACATGCAGCATCGGCTTCATCGACATCAATGTCTTCAACCTTTTCATTATCACTGACATAATCCGTTTCTTCTTCAACCAAAATTTTCCTTTTTGCTTTTCTTGATAACTTTTCCCTCTCCTTTCTTGTTTTTTCTTCTACTTACTTTTTTAATTCATCAATGTCTGGCGTGAAATTTATATGTCCTTTTTTACTTAATCTTTTCCTTAAAGCTCCAAGTGAAGCTTGCGGCAATGGAGATAGTTCCTGAATACTATATCTTCGTTTCCTCGTTGACGGAAATCTTTCTGTCTTGGACTTAGCTTTGGCAAGTCCTGATGTTGAAGGTTCAACATCAGTAGCTTCTGGTGTTCCAGAGCCTAATTTTGGCAGTCTACGCCTCCTTGTTGTGGTTGTTTTTGACCATTTTGGCATTGGTCATGTTCGGTTAACGGTCTATCGGTTGTGGAAGAGACTTGAACATGCAGTCAGGAAAGATGTTGTCATCGAAGGGATATATTCCTGTTTTGGCAAACGCGTGTACTGCATTTGCGGGTGTAGCAGCCGTCAAATACGCTTTATTGAAAAGACCAGCTACTTGGAAATGTGTGACGATTCTACCAGGATGTTGTTTAAGCCAAGTCTGAATTTCTTGTCCGTAATAAGTTTGGAGAGGTGAAAAAAAACCTACATCCAGGGGCTGTAGCCGGTGGGTACAAGGTGCGGGAAAACAGAATAGTATCACACCATTATCTTTCGCGTATTGTAGCACTTCTAGGCTTTTGTGGCTGCTATGGCCGTCCAATAAGAGTAAAACCTTGTTTAGTGTAATGTACAAAATGTTCCAACCATTGTACAAAAATCTCTGAACCCATCCAACCGTTTAGTTGACAATAGGCTTTGCTGCCCATTGGAGCGTTGTCCATCAGCTCATTTTTCATTCTTTTTCTTGGAAATATAAAAGCTGGTGGCACAAACGTGCCCATGGCATTCATACAGCATACCACAGTTAAATGCTGTCCTCGTTCAGCACTAAACAGCGCTCCAACTTGCTTTCGTTCTTTAGTAGCTAGAATTTTTGTTGCCGTTTTTGTACTACACTGAGACCAGATTCGTCAATGTTCTAAATATTTTCTGGTGGAAAGTTATATTTCTCCATAACCTCGTTCAGAGATTTAAAATAAAAAGCGGCATTATTTTTATTGAAGGCTTGTGCCCGAGCAGCTGAGCTGTTTTCAGGCCTTCTGAGAGATATCTGTGGATTTCGTTTTAAAAATCCCTGAATCCCTGTTTCTTTTTCTATGTTAAAAGGGTTTTTTATATTATTTTTAGATAAAAATTCGAAAATTAACTTCGAATTTTTTCTATGTTAAAAGGGTTTTTTATATTATTTTTAGATAAAAATTCGAAAATTAACTTCTTTAAATCTTTTAATGTTAAACCGAAGAATTTAGCTTCCATATCCTTTATATGTTGAGCAAATTGATCTTCTATCTCCCGAGTAAATACTGGTCTTTTACCCCCCAAATCTCCTTTGGTACTGTTACAATTGTTTTTAAATCTTCTGCGCAGTGTGGTAGCAGGGACATTGAAGATTTTGAACGCTAATTGCCATCCCATCTTTTTTTCCCGAACATTTCGCAAAGCCTCTGCCATATTTTTTTCCTCCCATAATTGCCTCTTAGCCTTACTGGACATTGTACTTGAGGCTGCAAGTGACATTCCTCTGTCATAAAAAAAGACTTCTCAGTTTTTATGAGAGTCAAAACGTTATAGCTATGATGGCATACTATGCCATCAAAGGAAAAGCTTTGGTATGCCATCATAGGGAAATTCGAGGTTTTATTAAAATCAATCTCTGTATTTTTTCATTTACAACATAACCCTAAACTGGCACCCGTATTACATGTGTCACATGTATAGAAAACATGAATTAAATTGGTGCCCCTGAGTTAAGCATATTAAGAACATGATTTCAACTTGATTAATGTGTAAAACTTAGTTCGAGAGTCAACAATATTTCATTTATTTTTCTGCCTTTCAAGAAACAGCCCTACACGCACACTGCTTTGTAGACATTCATGTACCAGTAAGGACCGCATCTTGAAGAGGTAATTTGACCGCGAAATTCAAATGGTCCAAAAAATTTGAAGGCATGTCATCATAGGCACCATGCCATCATAGGATGGTTTCCCCTACTTTAGCTTCCGGCGGGAGCCAAAATAGTTTACGCCGGGAGGTAAAGTGACACTTTGTGCCCTTAAATGAGGGAAGAAAATCACATTTTCTATATAGGGAATAGAAAAACAATTATCTTGCATTTTATCCGATTGCAAACTGACAAATTTGACATTTGTAATGAGCTGTTTTGTGCTCTCGTCTGCTGCTGCTTGGTGTGTCATCCACTACCAAAATATCTAGTCTAGTCTGTCATAATATGACCTCAATAATAAACCATTAATCATTAGTTCATGTTTGTTTTTATTTATTTATTTTTACATAGGACTAAAATTACCGTTACAAATAGTTTCAAATTCAGTGCAGTTATAACAGTTGCGAAACTAAATTTAAGCTTCTATAAAAATATTTATTGAACAATTTACCACTAAAAGAAAGCATAAAACGTTTAACTTTAATGTTTACAAAGATTATAAATATTTATTTCAAAAACAAAATATCAAATCTTATTTTGTACGTTTGGCAAACACCTCGACATTTCTAGTTCCAAATTCATCGAGAGTATTGGTGACGATTTCACGTACAAGAGGCTCGATTATTTGATCCGGCTTCAAAGCGCAAGCGTATATAAAACCGTTAGTTGCCACACTATTATCGATAAGTTGCAAAGACCAACTGCCTCTTATTGTTTCCAGTATATCCACAGTACAAATATCGTTCAAAAATTCAGCATCCACTTTGATTTTACTTTCATAGATATTGTTATATCCGAAAAATATGGCACCAAACTGGAGATCTGGCAAATAAACTATCTTCCAAAACCAGCGCGGAACTGGAAAGCGACCATCTTGGAGATAAAGTTCCACTGGAACTCCGTTCTGGTTGTTCAAGGTAGCCACTTTTAACGTTCCAGTTAATACCGTAGCGTTATCACCAACATCTTCGTTTTCCACCAAATCTATAACTGCCTGTTCCAATGTATACCAGTTAGATTCATCAAAAGTATTCCATTGAGGAGCAACATTAGCTAAATTGTACGTCGCATCCCTTTGAATGGGGTAAAGTAATTCGTCGCTTGACGCCAGATGTCCTCTCTGCAAAAAGTACGTTTCGTTGATATATTGAGAAACACCTAGTTCTTGAAAAGAGGCTTTGACATCGCTGTATACATGGGTCACATCTCCAGAAATTAAGTCCCCAGCGAAAAAGTAGTTGCTTGGTGGTGGTAGATAATCTTGTAGCCAGCTCGTCCCCTTATTAATGGTGTATTTGGTATAAAGTGGAATGCGTTCTGTCATTTGATAGCATATTACAAGTACTCGAGCAAAACCGCGGTTTATATTGTATCCCACTTCGACAGGTGTGGTATAACTATCCCCCTCACATCGTATGTTCGGGTTATTGTAGATTTCGGCTAAATCTGGTCTTGTTTTCTCGATTAAAATACAACTCAAGTTTTTGTATGTTAGAGGTTGATATTGAAAGTTGTAGTGAGTCGCATCTCTACAATTTGCCACTTGTCCGTTGACGTTATAACCTGGAGTGGTAAATTGTCCTCCTGGGCAAGCCCAATATGTTGCTCCCATGTGCTCTACGTAAATGAAGTGACCGTCCTGGACTTTAGGAAACTGGTAGTTTTCGTCGACGATCAAAAATGAGCGAGCACCACTTGGTACATCAATGCTACAAGCTGAAATTATAAATTCGTTAAACTTTATTTCCGGAGTTTTTAAGTGTATAAATTTTTTGGTGTTTTAAACATCTATTCTGAAAGCTTCAATAACGAGGATATCTATGTATTTTCAATGATAATCATGTGCTCATATTAATTGCAGCAATATCAACAGGTAAAATGACCGTTCCAAAAAAATTAACTTACTCACTAAAACATTTAAAATTACTTACGGCGAGGTCCATTTTGAGCTATATTTTCTGGTATATATGTAGCAATGAACAGAAAAACAGCTACAGTAGCACTAGTAAATGATCTTTCTTTAAGCATGTTGCTAAACGTTATTGAATTTTCGGTTTCTGTTTGTATTTATATAGTTCCACTTATCCTAAACATTATTTCGAAACTGATAAAAATCTTACAAAAATCTATGTATTTGTTCCCGCTGCAGGTGTTAATTTTTTAGATAATCTAAATCGCCGACTAATTAAAAATTGAGAAATGTCTCGACACTTCATTCGTCCGTAAAATGTAATAAAATATTTCCAGCGTTTTTTGTCTTTCAAGGTGCCGCCTAATAATAATAACAATAACAACAGTAATAATTCTCAAATTCCCCTTTTGTCAGATGGAATCAAGTATTCTTTTATAAAAATGTGGCATAAAATCAAACCAACAAACTAAACACTATAGAATACACAAACAATTATTTTTACAAGCTTAAATTTTATCATTTTAATTTTATGTGTAAAGGTTTTTTAAAATTTCCATTTGTTTATAACGTAGTCTTGTGCTAAAATTTTTGAACGGCACCGACTTGCTTAAACATATATGAATTAAAAGACAATATTTAAATGAAATATTCATGTGTTTAATCTTCATTTTGCTAATCTAATCACCTATTATAATGTTTACATGATTAACAGGATGTTCTTTTAATAAAATAAGCTCCATTACTAATTAAATTTTTATCACTTGATGCATGTCAGTGATATGAAGTGTTATTTCGCATTATAATTGATTGCATTTAAACAAATATAATGATTTAGATTGATAAACTTTTGTAAATTATTCATTTGTTTTTGTTAAATAATTTCGGAGGCTCAGTGTGTCACCGTGCTCTTTTGCCTTATTCTTAACCCTGCTCCTGAAGATCTATTTGTTTTTGTTATTTTATAATAGATAGTTGTATTTGTTAGAACATTTAAAATTAAACGAGTTCTGGTTATAAAAGATCAAAGTAATGCAATTACTCAGATGCAAAGAAAAATAAAAAGCTTGTACAACAAAATCAAACTAATTCAATTTCTTACAAAAATAAAAAATTTTCTTAAAAATAGATATAGACATTTGTTACACATGTTTAAGTCCGGAGATGGAGCGAATGTAAAGAAATGTAAATTTAAATTCTCTATTATATCTATATATTTTGGACTCGAAGTTCACTTGTCAGTAGGTATCAAAATAAAGACTAACAAAATTAAGCATAAAACGGGTAAATGACGAAATAAATAATTGCCACTTGAAGAGTTAAATCAGGAAGAATTAAGATGATTTTAAGCCGGATGAAGCCTACTCTACTTAATTAAATTTTTATCACTTCATTCATGTCAACGATTTTGAAATATCGTTTCGTGTAGTATAATTAATTATTTTTAAACGCATAGGAGTGTTTATGTTGATAACGAGTTTTAATAAATTATTTTTTGTTTCCAATCACTATAAGCTGTAGAGATTAGATTTAAATCGCTTTTAGGAAAACGAGATAAGCCATTTTTATTTAATCAATGAAATATTGCTTCATTCAGTATTGTTTTCAAGATAACCAGCAAAAATGTATCTTAAAAAATAAGTGCGTCGAACGGTTGGTTTTATTTCTCAAAATCGATTTACTAGTTTTTACGATGTATTTTAAAATTTGTAACTATTTTCCAAAAACCTACATGCATGGGTTGCTAATAAGACTGAATTAACAAACCAAAGTAAGATTATCATGATCACATCACCCTTTCGTTTTTATTTAGTTGGAACAATAATTTGCCGCTGAGTTTAGAACAAGAATCAGAACATTTTGAACAATTTTTGTGAATTAAAAAAAAATTTAGTGTTAACTTTTAGGCAACCAGTTATACTAAGCAGCAAAATAAAAATATTAAAGATAACAGTATGGTGTAAATATGACAAGTGGTTTCTTTGATTAAAATTCACCTGCATCACCCGGTATAAGATATGTATTATCAGGATATGTATTCATCCCGTCGAATTAAAAAGATTAACCCTCAGACTATCCAATTGATTTTAAACGTTTACAGCAGCCATAAATATTAATTCCATTTGATTGATTACCACATTATTTAGAGGGCGGGACTTTTCAGAAATCGTATAAAACAATCATCATAGACTTCCATATTGACTACAAACTCTATAGGTAACATTTAATTATGGTTCGATTTTCAGTCGTATTTGTTTTTGTTGCAGTTTTCGTCAAGTATAAAGCCTTAGCACTACCAGGTAACAACAAATGTACAAGGTGAGTCAATAAAGTCATTCTCTTGATATCTTATTAATTGTTAAGGTATCGAAAAGTGCACATTTATTGACTCACTATTTACATAAACCAACTAATGTTCGCTCCCTCTTGTGATTCTATGTTTTTATGATATATAAAGAAAAATGGTACCCTAAACCTTAATGGTTTGTTTTCTAGGATGTTTCTTTGATGTGATGACCAATAATGCAGCCAATGCACCTTTAATAACTCAAGCTAAACGCGAATTTGTAGAACCTTCAGCTAATGGAAGCATTCACATTGGATTTAGAGAAAGTATGTACATTGCTTGTCCTGGAGGACAATTCACTCCACCTGGCTTAAATCCACGTGGCCAATTCATGAACTGCGTGGAAGGTACAACCATCACAATTGGAGCATCAGCTACTTTGGACTTTGCCAATTTCACATGCACTGATAGAGCTAGACCATATGTAGAAGTAATCACAGACACTGAAATACAATGCGAAAATGGTACCTTTGGCTTAAGGGCAGGTTATACTGTTTCGGACTTAAATGGGTTTGTTACTGTGTATACGGCTTGTTTTCGGCTTTGCGACACTCCTTTGTATATTAAATCCAAAGTGAATAAATGGGCACGATCTGGACAGAATTATCCAGAAGCACCCAGATATGTGTTTGACTTTGGGATATTTTGTGGAAACGCACTCGAAAGGTACGATAATTACGAAGCTAGATTTGAAGAAATGGGTCTCCAGGATTACATCAACGATGTACATTATTTAACGAAGGGACAATTGGCTCCACACGATGACTTTCTTTATGTTCTTCAAAGAGACGCTACTTATAGTTTAGTTAACGTTGCTCCACAGTGGAATACTTTTGATGAAGGGAACTGGAGGTCGCTAGAAAATGGAATTCTGAATCTGTTGCAAAGTCAAGATATCGAAGGCGCCACAATTTTAACGGGAATTTTAAAAATAGCTACTTTGACAAATTCCACCGGAGATGAAATTGAACTTCGTATTGCAACAATGGCTACAGTTCCAAGATGGTTTTGGAAGATTATTTATTTTCCAGAGCTGCACTTCGGTGCAGTTTTCTTCGGATATAATAATCCTTACGTGAATAAGTTTCTCGTTGACGCGGAATTCTTGAGGGAAATATGTTCCACGGATATCTTCGGAACGTTACAAAGTAGTTGGATGTTGAATGATATTGACAACACAGACCCATTTTTGGGGTATACCTACGCTTGTCCATTGAATACAGTTCAAATAATTGATCCTCTTATTGGCGAAATTGTTACAAATTTTCTTGGAGAACTAAATGTGACTAAATCTGGAATACTCCCCTAAGTAATATTTATTTATCTAGTATCGTGAATATGTATTACTACTATAAATTTAGCTTCTTTTTGTCTGGTATCAAATAAAAATCTTGTTACAATTGTTTCACTTTCATGAGAATGACACTAAAATTTTCGGCGTAGTACGTTCATGATATTATCAGACTATCTGTTCCACCAATTGACTCTATATCTTATAAAAAAATAGAAAGAAACTACATTTTTCTTCCTGTAATTTTTATTTGTCTACATCATCGAAAATTTAATATGCCACTTTTATTTTTGTTTAGTGGAAAAATTAATACTTGTCAAGTTCCATTCTAAAAGCACATTTCTAACAATCACAGCTAGAAGAGTGTCGATTATTTGATTTGTGTCCAACTGGCAAGCGTAAATATATACCAAAAAAGAATCACTATTATCGACACCATTTAACAACCAAGTGTCTTGCAAAATCTCAAATACATCACTATAACATATTTCACCCAAAAATTCAGAATCCACATTGTCTTTGGAAACGTAAGGATTATTATATCCGAAGAAAACTGCGCCAATATTATCACCAGGAATATAAACTAGCTTCCAAAACCATCTCGGTACCGGAAAAGTGGTACCACTCTCCTTCAAACGAAGCTCTTCTTCTGTACCATTCACGTTAACTAAAGTAGCTACTTTGAGGGTTCCCGTTAGTACCGTAGCGTCTCCAATATCACCACTTTCCAGTAAATTAACAACCGCATTTTCCAGTACTCGCCAGTTGCCTTGATCAAACGTGTTCCACCGTGGCGCCACATTAGCTAAATCATAGGTTGCATCTCTTTGAAACGAATATAAAAATTCATCGTATGCAGCAAGTTGCCCTTTAGTTAAATAGTGAACACCATCAACGTACCTTTGCAGACCCAAACCTTCAAAAGCAGTTGCATAATTTTCGTACGCAGCCACTGGATCATCAGAAAATAAACCTAAATCGAAAACGTACCGAGGTGGTTCCAGATAATTTTGGCCCGACTTTGCCCATTTGCTTATACGATATTTGGTATACAAAGGAATACCAAGCTCGAGTTGAAAACATACTAACAGTGCGCGATAGAAACTTTTGTTGAGAGTGTAACCTATCTCAATAGCGGTACCACCTTCACAAGATATGTCGGAATTTGGTTTATCAGTAAGATAAGGTCTTGCTGTGTCATTTAAAGTACAGGTTATCTTGTTGAAGTCTCCAGCGACTCCTGTTTTGATGTCGACTATTGTACCTTCTCTACAATATACAGAGTGTCCGTTTACATCTATAGCTGTTGGTGTGAATTCACCACCTGGACATGCTATGTAAATTGGTTCTCTGTAGACAAAGTGGAGGCTGCCGTTGAGTGAAGGTTCTGGGAAGACCTCGCTGCCAACAATGAGAGGAGTGAGTGCAGGGTTAGTCAACACGTCTAAGTAGCAACCTGAAATATTTGTCTTTGTTTTTTTTTCGTAACGATTATATAGAAGTTTGATATTACACTCGAAAACTCAAGTGACCACGTAACCCAGACGTTATAATTCACATCGCGTTGTATCTGTGTAAAATCTACTTACCTGGAAATACACTACTTGTTGCAGAAAAACTTACAGTTAAAGCATATAAAACAAAATATATAAATGTTTTATTAATCATCATCAGCAATTAGCAGTTAGTCGTAAAAGTTTAATGATCCAATGATTTATTGCTACTAATCCTAAAATTATCAATTACGTCAGTTTTAATCTACTAGTACTGTAATCAGCAGGTAGTGATTTTTCGAAAGTATGTTGATAACATCTTAATGAACCACAAAAAAATAAGCAACCGTTATATTCATCGATGCAACTGTCCTTGGGGAGATGTAGTTGTAATGGAATGATATTTTAGTGTGTATAGTATCAATTTTGATTACATATGATTTCAGTTTAGAAAGATTAAACTAAATTACACGAATGAACAAATCAAAATAGTAGAATCTTTTCGTTGGTACATACATAGTTGCCAACAGTGATTAGGGAAATAGGATGCAGACAAAATAATATATAAATCGCATCTTGTTCCTCTTAATCTGAGTGGAAACATGGTGCCGAATGAGTCTAAGAATGTTCAGTTTTATCCCAGTTGCTATTTTTGAACAAAAGTTTTTCTTTCAGTTGTAATAATGGTGGAGGCGCCGGGATACAAAATGAAGATTCGAATGAGCTAGATAACTCATGCTTATTAATTTTAGACACAAAAATTAATTATTAAATTAGTATTTGATAAGATAAAACTGATTTTGGCAAATGACGTGCCTTCTATCAAAATAGAGGGCGGGTGGGCGGGGCTAGTACTTTCTAAGAAAAAACTGGTTTTGACAACTAACTTAGGTACTGTCTTAGAAAATAGAAGGCGGGTGGGTGGGGCTAGCATTCTATAAGATATGACTGATTTTGACACTTTTGACATTTTCTACCATTTGTCAACCATGTTCGAAATTGAACTAGATATTTTCTTGTAGATTTCGATATTTAGAATTCATTTTCGGCTTCGTTTTTTCGAAAATTCCTACTGTTTTCTAATATCGCCAATTGAAATACGACAATTTTGACAATTTTTTATAAATCTCAATTAAGCCATGTCAAGTGCACAAAATAAGAAATAAATTTTATAGCAAATAATATAACAAGCAAGTGAAGTATAGCGCATTTTTTACTTTTTTCACATCCTAGATTCTTTTAGTTTCCATTCCCACAGCAAAGAAGGCCACAAATTGAACTGACAGTTTCGTGTAAATTTCAACATTGAGAATTAATTTTCGGTTTCGTTTTTTCGGAAATTCTTATGGTTTTTCCAATATCACCAATTGAAATACAGCATTTTTTACAATTTTTAAAAAATTTCAATCAAGTCATTTCAAGTGCACAATATAAGAAATTAATTTTGTAGCGAATAAAATATACTCTTTTCACATCTAGATTCTTTTAGTTTCCACTCCCACTCCACAAAAGACCTCAATTAGCCCCGCCCACCCACCCTGCTTCCATTTCACTGATTAATTTTATCCGGTCTGAATCAAATGAATGATCTTATACTGAACAGGAATAAAATTAGTGGAAAGAGCAGGTGGGTGGCGGAGTTAGCACTTGCTAAGAGAGGACTGATTTTGGAAAATGACATACCCTCTAACAAAACAGCATGGGTGGTGGGCGGGGCTAGTACTTTCTAAGAAAAAACGGATTTTGGCAACTAACATAGGTACTATTGTAGAAAATAGAAGGCGCGTAGGCGGGGCTAGCATTTAATAAGGTGTGATTTATTTTCACACTTTTGACATTTTCGACCATTTTTCAACCATTTTCAAAATTGAACTAGAAATTTTCTTATAGATTTCGACATTTAGAATTCATTTTCGGCTACGTTTTATCGAAAATTCCTACCGTTTTCCAATATCGCCAATTGAAATACGGCAATTTTTACAATTTTCTAAATATTTCTTAATCTGAGGCAAATCTTTGTAACAGATAATTTTTTTATACATTTCGATAATTTTTAATAATAAAAAATAAGCTGTCGATATTTATGCTTAGCATTTATTCATTTAAAACTTCAGAGATTTAGGCTTCGGTCCTGATTTAAAAAATATTTCGTGTTTCGGAGCCAGAAATATTTGGTTTGAATTTTTTCAAAATTTTGAATATCATCCCATTTTATTATGGTGATTCTGGAACGATGTCAAAAGATATCTTATGTAAGCTGAAAACTATCAAAATTTCTTCAAGTTTTTTTCGAAGATGATTCAAAATGGGTCAAACATTTCATTGAAAAATTGAACTTTTGGAAAAGTTGTCAATAATCCACAAAAAAATTGGAATGTATATTTCGATATGCTGATTTGAAAAATATAGCAAGTTTGTGGTTGCAGAGCATGATTTCTGGAATATTTGGTTGGAAAAGAATTTTTTTTTTAAATCTTAAATGTCGATATATTTCATCTTGTGATTCTGGAAATATGTTATGGATTTTCGAAGAAAAGGAAGCCGAATATAGGATGCATAAAAATTCATAAAAAAAACCTGGACTATAGGTGTCAACGTGTCGATTCGTAAAGTATAGTGCTCCCCTAGAAAATATTTTTTAAAGAAATTCTAAAAATCCATCTAAAAGTTTTATTACTAGTTATTGTGATAATTAATGTGTTGTTTAATTGTTCAATGTAGCAAAAAAAACAATTTTAAAATCATTATAACTCCACCAGAATGTGAGAGGGAATTTTTTTACTATTTTACCCACACTCAACAGTTCATTGTTAAGAGCGTAGCGAACAGTTAATTCGCCATTTTCCAAACACCCGGTATAATATTCAAATCGAATATTCGTAGGTAGACAACAAAACAACGAAACAAATATAGTTTTTACGTGAGTAATAGGATTTTGTTATAATCCAAGCATTAGTAATATGTAATTAAATTTTGATCACTTCATCCATGTCAAAGATTGCGAAATATGATTTCGAGTGAGAATTGATTACATTTAAACAATTCATCTACGGATTTAAGTTGATAACGAAATTTTATAAATTATTATTTTTTTATTTTCAATCCCTCTAAGCTGCAGATCTTAAATTTAAATCATGAGATAACTGGTCATTTATTTTGTCAATAAGTTTTGTTTTATTTACTTTTTTAGGACACTGTACATAGATTTACAAAAACTAGCAGCATATGAAGAATATACACTCAAAATGAATGGAGATAAATCCTAATTAGCAATGTACTGTATACCCTTAAGGTGGGTTTAAAATTTGTAAGCAACCAGTTCAATAGTTTCAAAACACATGGTAAAATTCTCAATTATTTTCCGGACTGTTACATGTCCAGGGCTGGATTAACAAACTAACGTAAACACATTTTTGGTGATGATGAACATACAAGTTTGGATTAGCGTGTTACCATCTACAATATATTCTTAAAATAGGTAGATACTAGAACTGTTTTCAATTTTAGAGAATATTTGCCCTTAAAGTGCAACATACAACTAATTGGATTTTTAAATCAAGCCGTTTGACGTGGACATAATAATTTAATTCCATTTGATTTATTATCAAATTATCGGGAAGAGGGTTTTACAGAAATGGTATAAAAATGGTGGAGTACACACATACTGATTAGAGCAAATTCGATATTATTTAATGATGGTTCGATACTCAGTTGTATTTATTTTTGCTGTGGTTTTCAGCAAGTATCAAACACTAGCACAGAGAGGTAACAATAGATGTACAGGGTGAGTCAATAACCACGCGCTTTCGATATATCCCATTATTATTAAAAGTAGAACATATAGTATGGTTCACTTTAACTTGAAACTTGAAGTAAAAAGAAAATGATAAAAAAACGGACTAAGATGGAATAAAATTACACTTTTTTCTATGTGTATAAATTAATGGGTTATCGACAGGCTAGTACTTATTAACTCCGCATGATACTTTAATAATAATTGCTCCCTGATCCTTAGTGGTTTGCTTTTTAGGATGTTTCTTTGACGTGATGTCCAACGCCGCCACTGCACCCCTCATATTACAAGGAAGTGGATCTTTTGACGAACCTTCAGCCAACGGAAGCATTGCATATGGGTATAGGCACGGTATGTCGATTGCTTGTCCAGGGGGACAATTCAATCCACCTGGCTTAAAGGTACTTGGCCAAAACATGATCTGCGTAGAGGGTACAAGGATCAAAATTTCAACATCAGTTTATTTGGACTTTGCTAACATTACATGCACTGATAGAGCTAGACCATACGTAGAAGTAATCCCAGTCTTCACTGAAATACAGTGCGAGAATGGTACCACTGGGTTCAAGGCAGGTTATACTATTTCAGTGTCACCTACGTTTGTTACTGTATATACGGGTTGTTTTCGCGTGTTCAATACTCCCTTCTATGTCAAGCACAAACTAAATAAATGGGCACGATCTGGACAGAATTATGCAGACACACCCAGATATATTTTTGATTTTGAGATGTTTACCTATGACGCACTCGCAGATTACGACAATTATGAAGCTAGATTTGAAGAAATGGGTCTCCAGGATTATGTCAACGATGTACATTATTTAACGAAAGGACAACTGGCTCCACCTGATGATTTTCTTTACGTTCTTCAAAGAGACGCTACTTATAATTTAGCTAACGTTGCTCCACAGTGGAATACTTTTGATGAAGGGAACTGGAGGTCCCTAGAAAACGGAATTGTGAATCTGTTGGAAAGTCAAGATATCGGAGGTGCTACCATTTTAACGGGAACTTTAAAATCAGCGTCTCTGAAAAATTCGAGCGGAGAGGAAATCGAACTTCGTATTGGACCACTTATTGTAGTTCCAAGATGGTTTTGGAAAATTGTTTATTTCCCAGACCTGCATTTCGGTGCAATTTTCTTCGGATATAATAATCCTTACGTGAATAAATTTCTCGTTGACGCCGAATTCTTGACGGAAATATGTTCCACGGATGTCTTCGGAACGTTACAAAGTAGTTGGATGTTGAATGCTATTGACAACACAGACCCATTTTTGGGATATACCTATGCTTGTCCATTGAACACTGTTCAAATAATTGATTCCCTTATTGGTGAAATTGTTACTAATTTTCTTGCAGAACTAAATGTGACTGAATCTAGAATATTCCCCTAAATCGTTAAATAACAAGACCCGAAGTAATGTTCATTTGTCTAATAGCGTGAATATACATATATTATACTACTTTAAATTTAGTTTCTTTTTGTCTGGTATCAAATAAAAATCTTCTCGTTATGATATTGTTTCACTTTCATGAGTATGACACGAAAATTTTCAGCGTGGTACGTTCATGATATATCAGACTAACTGTTCCACCAATGGACTCTATTATTGTAGAAGTAAAAACTAAATGAAAGTCTTATAAGAAAATAAAAAGAAACTACAATTTTCTTACTGCAAGTTTTATTTGTCTACTATCATCAAAAATTTTAAATCAAACTTTTATTTTTTGTTTAGTGGAAAAATTGATACTTGTCAAGTTGCCTTCGAAAAGCACGTTTCTAACGATCTCAGCTAGAAAAGTAACCGTAAATATATCCCAAAAAAGAATCATTATTATCGACACCATGTAACAACCAAGTGTCTTGTAACATCTGAAATACATCAGTTGGTATAACATATTTCACCCAAAAATTCAGAATCCACATTATCTTTGGAAACGTAAGGATTATTATATCCAAAGAAAACTGCACCAAAATTATGACCAGTGAATATAAACTAGCTTCCAAAACCATCTCGATATCGGAAAAGTGGTACCACTTTCCTTCAAACGAAGCTCTTCTTCCGTACCATTCACGTTTTCTAAGGTAGCTACTTTGAGGGTTCCCGTTAGTACCGTAGCGTCTCCAATATCACCACTTTCCAGTAAATTAACAATCGCATTTTCCAGTACCCGCCAGTTGCCTGGATCAAACGTGTTCCACCGTGGCGCCACATTAGCTAAATCATAGGTTGCATCTCTTTGAAACGAATATAAAAATTCATCGCATGCAGCAAGTTGTCCTTTAGTTAAGTCGTGAACACCATCAACGTACCTTTGCAGACCCAAATTTTCAAAAGTAGTTCCATAATTTTCGTACGCAGCCACTGGATCATCAGAAAATAAACCCAAATCGAAGACGTACCGAGGTGGTTCCGCATAATTTTGGCCCGACCTTGCCCATTTGCTTATACGATATTTGGTATACAAAGGAATGCCAAGTTCGAGTTGAAAACATACTAACAGTGCGCGATAGAAACTTTTGTTGAGAGTATAACCGATCTCAATAGCGGTACCACCTTCACAAATTATGTCGGAATTTAATTTATCAGTGAGATAAGGTCTTGCTGTGTCATTTAAAGTACAGGTTATCTTGTTGAAGTTTCCAGCGACTCCTGTTTTGATGTCGACTATTGTACCTTCTCTACAATATACAGAGTGTCCGTTTACATCTATAGCTGTGGGTGTGAATTCACCACCTGGACATGCTATGTAAATTGGTTCTCTGTAGATAAAGTGGAGGCTGCCGTTGGGTGAAGGTTCTGGGAAGACGTCGCTGCCAACAATGAGAGGAGTGAGTGCAGGGTTAGTCAACACGTCTAAGTAGCAACCTGAAATATTCGTCTTTGTTTTTGTTTTTTCGTAACGATTATATAGAAGTTTGATATTACACTCGAAAACTCAAGTGATCACGTAACCTAGACGTTATAATTCACATCGCGTTGTGTCTGTGTAAAATGTGCTTACCTGGAAATACACTACTTGTTGTGGAAAAACCTACAGTTAAAGCATATAAAACAAAATATATAAATGTTTTATTAATCATCATCAGCAATTAGCAGTTAGTCGTAAAAGTTTAATCATCCAATGATTTATTGCTACTAATCCTAAAATTATCAATTACGTCAGTTTTAATCTACTAGTACTGTAATCAGCAGGTAGTGATTTTTCGAAAGTATGTTGATAACATCTTAATGAACCACAAAAAAAATAAGCAACCGTTATATTCATCGATGTAACTGTCCTTGGGGAGATGTAGTTGTAATGGAATGATATTTTAGTGTGTATAGTATCAATTTTGATTACATATGATTTCAGTTTAGAAGGATTAAACTAAACTACACGAATGAACAAATCAAAATAGTGGAATCTTTTCGTTGGTACATACATAGTTGTCAACAGTGATTAGGGAAATAGGATGCAGACAAAATAATATATAAATCGCATCTTATTCCTCTTAATCTAAGTAGAAACATAGTGCCGAATCAGTCTAAGAATGTTCAGTTTTATCCCAGTTATTCAACAACTGTTTTTCTTTCAGTTGTAATAATGGTGGATGCGCCGGGATACAAAATGAAAATTCGAATGAGCATCAACTCATGCTTAGTCATTTTAGACACAAAAATTAAATTTGAAGACCATGTTGGTTAAGAGTTGTGTAGTTGAGCTTAGTTATAAATATTTACTATTTCTTGCATTATGATAGAATGATTCAGGGAGCCATTTTTAATTTTCAACATTTAATTTGGTAACTATGACCGAACCGTGTTTTGTATGTAAGATCACTTTATCACAGTTAATAATATAGCGACTTTGGTCACTGTCAATTGTGAAATGAGCGAACATAACAAATGTGGTCAGAAAAATGTCAGCTTGGCGTCTTAAATGTCAATTTGGCAATCAGATATGCCACCAAAAAATTTTAAATTCAACTGACAAAAAAAATTTGGATTAAGACTATTTACAAAAACTGCTCTCGCCCCTGAAATAAAGTCGAACTTGGAAAAATGAAAAAATTTAATTTTGCGAATTTAATTTTTTTTCTGACAACTCCTAAAAGTCAAAATAAAGCTATTTGTGTAGTGTTAAACCATATATCAGTTTGAACAAGTTTAGTATAATACTGATAAAAACAGTACTGTATGCTCCAATTTTCTGGAAAATAGGATAAACGTTCTTAATTTGATCAATCAAATAAAAGCTGTGGCCCGCCGATCCACGACCGTCTCAACTGCAAAGTAAGTGCGCTACCGGTAGACTACCGCTGTGGTTGTGAAGTTTCGTATTATGCGTGTAAAGAACAAGATGGACCAAACATAAAACAAATATAATAAGAATAAAGAAAATCAAGGTAGATTCATAAACCACATAGGTACTATCTTAGACAATAGAAGGGGCTAGCATTCTATAAGATAAGATTGATTTTGGAAAATCACCTACCTTCCAAGAAAATCGAGGGTGGGTGGGCGGGCCTAGTATTTGATAAGATAAAACTGATTTTGGCAAATTACGTACCTTCTATCAAAATAGAGGGCGGGTGGGCGAGGCTAGTACTTTCTAAGAAAAAACTGGTTTTGGCAACTAACTTAGGTACTGTCTTAGAAAATAGAAGGCGGGTGGGTGGGGCTAGCATTCTATAAGATATGACTGATTTTGACACTTTTGACATTTTCTACCATTTGTCAACCATTTTCGAAATTGAACCAGCATATTTTCTTGTAGATTTCGATATTTAGAATTCATTTTCGGCTTCGTTTTTTCGAAAATTCCTACTGTTTTCTAATATCGCCAATTGAAATACGACAATTTTGACAATTTTTTATAAATTTCAATTAAGCCATGTCAAGTGCACAAAATAAGAAATAAATTTTATAACAAATAATAAAACAAACAAGTGAAGTATAGCGCTTTTTTTACTTTTTTCACATCCTAGATTCTTTTAGTTTCCATTCCCACAGCAAAGAAGACCAAAATTAGCCCGGCCCACCCACCCTGCCTCCACTTCAGTGATTAATTTTATCCGGTTTGAATGAAATGAATGATCTTATACTGAACAGAAATGAACTTAGTGGTTAGAATGTCAAGAGCAGGTGGGCGGCGAAGTTAGCACTTAAGACAGGACTGATTTTGGAAAATAACACATCCGCTAAGAAAATAAAGGGTGGGTGGGCTTTACTATTTGTTGATAAGATAAGACTTATTTTGGCAAATAACATAGCTACTATCTTAGAAAATAGAAGGCGGGTGAGCAGAGCTAGCATTTTATAAAATATGACTGATTTTGACACTTTCGACATTTTCGACCATATTGCAACCATTTTCGAAATTGAACTGACAGTCGTGTAAATTTCAACATTGAGAATTTCGGTTTCGTTTGTTCGTAAATTCTTATGGTTTTTCCAATATCGCCAATTGAATTACGACATTTTTTACAATTTTTTAAAAATTTCAATAAAGTCATTTCAGGTGCACAATATAAGAAATTAATTTTGTAGCGAATAATATATACTCTTCTCACATCTAGATTCTTTTAGTTTCCACTCCCACTCCACAAAAGACCTCAATTAGCCCCGCCCACCCACCCTGCTTCCATTTCACTGATTATTTTATCCGGTCTGAATCAAATGAATGATCTTATACTGAACAGGAATAAAATTAGTGGAAAGAGCAGGTGGGTGGCGGAGTTAGCACTTGCTAAGGCAAGACTGATTTTGGCAAATGACATACCCTCTAACAAAACAGCATGGGTGGTGGGCGGGGCTAATACTTTCTAAGAAAAAACGGATTTTGGCAACTAACATAGGTACTATTGTAGAAAATAGAAGGCGCGTGGGCGGGGCTAGCATTTTATAAGATGTGATTTATTTTGACATTTTTGACATTTTCGACTATTTATTTTTCAACCATTTTAAAAATTGAACTAGAAATTTTCTTATAGATTTCGACATTTAAAATTCATTTTCGGCTACGTTTTTTCGGAAATTCCTACCGTTTTCCAATATGGCCAATTGAAATACGGCAATTTTTACAATTTTTTAAATATTTCTTAATCTGAGACAAATTTTTGTAAAAGATATTTTTTTTTATACATTTCGATAATTTTTAATAATAAAAAATAAGCTGTCGATATTTATGCTTAGCATTTGTTCATTTAAAACTTCAGAGATTTAGACTTCGACGTCCTGATTTAAAAAATATTTCGTGTTCGGAGCCAGAAATATTTGGTTTGATTTTTTTTTAAATTTTGAATATCATCCCATTTTATTATGGTGATTCTGGAACGATGTCAAAAAATATCTTATGTAAGTTGAAAACTATCAAAATTTCTTTAAGTTTTTTTCGAAGATGATTCAAAATGGGTCAAACATTTCATTGAAAAATTGAACTTTTGGAAAAATTGTCAATAATCCACAAAAAAAATTGGGATGTAGAATTCGTCATGTTGATTTGAAAAATATAGCGAGTTTGTGATTGCAGAGGATGATTTCTGGAATATTTGGTTGGAAAAGATTTTTTTTTAAATCTTAAAAATCGATATATTTCATCTTGTGATTCTGGAAATATGTTATGGATTTTCGAAGAAATGAAGCCGAATATAGCATACAGGATTTAAAATTTGAGCTTTGCGAAGAGACGGCTAAAACTTCATAAAACAAATCTGGACTATAGGTCTCACCGTGTCGATTCGTAAAGTGTAGTGTTCTCCTAGAAAATAATTTTTTAAGAAATTCTAAAAGTCCATCTAAAAGTTTTATTACTAGTTATTGTGATACTGAATGTGTTGTTTAGTTGTTCAGTGTAGCAAAAGAACCAATTTTAAAATCATTATAACTCCACCAGAATGTGAGAAGGAATATTTTTACTATTTTTCCCAGACTCACAGTTGATTGCGTAGCGAACAGTTAATTCGCCATTTTCCAGACACCCCGTATTATATTCAAATCGAATATTCGTAGGTAGACAACAAAACAACGAAACAAATATAGTTTTTACGTGAGTAATAGGATTTTGTTATAATCCAAGCATTAGTAATACGTAATTAAATTTTGATCACTTCATCCATGTCAAAGATTGCGAAATATGATTTCGAGTGAGAATTGATTACATTTAAAAAATACGTATACGGATTTAAGTTGATAACGAAATTTTATAAATTATTATTTTTTTATTTTCAATCCCTTTAAGCTGCAGAACTTAAATTTAAATCATTAGATAACTGGTCGTTTATTTTGTCAATAAGTTTTGTTTTATTTACTTTTTTAGAACACTGTACATAGATCTCCAAAAAGTAGCAGCATATGAAGAATATACACTCAAAATGAATGGAGATATATTCTAATTAGCAATGTACCATATACCCATAATGTGGGTTTAAAATTTGTAAGCAATCAGTTCACTAGTTTCAAAACACATTGCAAAATTCTGAATTATTTTCCGGACTGTTACATGTCCAGGGCTGTATTAACAAACTAAAGTAAACACATTTTTGGTGGTGATGAACATACAAGTTTGGATTAGCGTGTTACCATCTACAATATATTCTTAAAATAGGTAGATACTAGAACTGTTTTCAATTTTAGAGAATATTTGCCCTTAATGTGCAATATACAACTAATTGGATTTTTAAATCAACCGTTTGACGTGAACATAATAATTTAATTCCATTTGATTTATTATCAAATTATCGAGAGGAGTGTTTTACAGTAATGGTATAAATATGGCATACACCCACACATACTGATTAGAGCAAATTCGATATTATTTAATGATGGTTCGATACTCAGTCGTATTTACTTTTGCTGTGATTTTCATCAAGTATGAAACACTAGCACAGAGAGGTAACAATAGATGTACAGGGTGAGTCAATAAGCATGCGCTTTCGATATATCCCATTATTATTAAAAGTAGAACATATAATATGGTTCACTTTAACTTGAAACTTGAAGTAAAAAGAAAATGATAAAAAAACGAACTAAGATGGAATAAAATTACACTTTTTTCTATGTGTATAAATTAATGGGTTATCGACAGGCTAGTACTTATTAACTCCGCATGATACTTTAATAATTGCTCCCTGATCCTTAGTGGTTTGCTTTTTAGGATGTTTCTTTGACGTGATGTCCAACGCCGCCACTGCACCCCTCATATTACAAGGAAGTGGATCTTTTGACGAACCTTCAGCCAACGGAAGCATTGCATATGGGTATAGGCAAGGTATGTCGATTGCTTGTCCAGGGGGACAATTCAATCCACCTGGCTTAAAGGTACTTGACCAAAACATGATCTGCGTAGAGGGTACAAGGATCAAAATTTCAACATCAGTTTATTTGGACTTTGCTAACATTACATGCACTGATAGAGCTAGACCATACGTAGAAGTAATCCCAGTCTTCACTGAAATACAGTGCGAGAATGGTACCACTGGGTTCAAGGCAGGTTATACTATTTCAGTGTCACCTACGTTTGTTACTGTATATACGGGTTGTTTTCGCGTCTTCAATACTCCCTTCTATGTCAAGCACAAACTAAATAAATGGGCACGATCTGGACAGAATTATCCAGAAACATCCAGATATATTTTTGATTTTGAGATGTTTACCGTAGACGCACTCGCAGATTACGACAATTATGAAGCTAGATTTGAAGAAATGGGTCTCCAGGATTATGTCAACGATGTACATTATTTAACGAAGGGACAACTGGCTCCACCTGATGATTTTCTTTACGTTCTTCAAAGAGACGCAACTTATAATTTAGCTAACGTTGCTCCTCAGTGGAATACTTTTGATGAAGGGAACTGGAGGTCCCTAGAAAACGGAATTGTGAATCTGTTGGAAAGTCAAGATATCGGAGGTGCTACAATTTTAACGGGAACTTTAAAATCAGCGTCTCTGAGAAATTCTAGCGGAGAGGAAATCGAACTTCGTATTGCACCACTTATTGTAGTTCCAAGATGGTTTTGGAAAATTGTCTATTTCCCAGACTTGCATTTCGGTGCAATCTTCTTCGGATATAATAATCCTTACGTGAATAAATTTCTCGTTGATGCGGAATTCTTGAGGGAAATATGTTCCACGGATGTCTTCGGAACGTTACAAAGTAGTTGGATGTTGAATGATATTGACAACACAGACCCATTTTTGGGATATACCTATGCCTGTCCATTGAACACTGTTCAAATAATTGATCCCCTTATTGGTGAAATTGTAACTAATTTTCTTGCAGAACTAAATGTGACTAATTCTAGAATATTCCCCTAAGTCGTTAAATAACAAGACCAGATGAAATGTAGCAGCAGCGTAGATTTATTTAAGTAATGTTTATTTGTCTAGTAGAGTGAGTATATATATTATACTACTTTAAATTTAGCTTCTTTTTGTCTGGTATCAAATAAAAAACTTCTCGTTATGATTTTGTTTCACTTTCAAGAGTATGACACTAAAATTTTCGGCGTGGTGCGTTCATGATGTTATCAGACTAACTGTTTCACCAATGGACTCTATTATTGTAGAAGTAAAAATTAAATGAAAGTCTTATAATAAAATAGAAAGAAACTACAATTTTCTCACTGCAATTTTTATTTGTCTACTATTATCAAAAATTTAAAATCAAACTTTTATTTTTGTTTAGTGGAAAAATTAATACTTGTCAAGTTGCCTTCTAAAAGCACATTTCTAACGATCTCAGCTAGAAGAGTGTCGATTATTTGATTTGTGTCCAACTGGCAAGCGTAAATATATCCCAAAAAAGCATCACTATTATCGACACCATTTAGCAACCAAGTGTCTTTCAAAATCTCAAATACATCACTATAACATATTTCACCCAAAAATTCAAAATCCACATTATCTTTGGAAACGTAAGGATTATTATATCCAAAGAAAACTGCGCCAAAATTATCACCAGGAATATAAACTAGCTTCCAAAACCATCTCGGTACCGGAAAAGTGGTACCACTTTCCTTCAAACGAAGCTCTTCTTCTGTACCATTCACGTTAACTAAAGTAGCTACTTTGAGGGTTCCCGTTAGTACCGTAGCGTCTCCAATATCACCACTTTCCAGTAAATTAACAATCGCGTTTTCCAGTACTCGCCAGTTGCCTTGATCAAACGTGTTCCACCGTGGCGCCACATTAGCTAAATCATAGGTTGCATCTCTTTGAAACGAATATAAAAATTCATCGTATGCAGCAAGTTGCCCTTTAGTTAAGTAGTGAACACCATCAACGTACCTTTGCAGACCCAAATCTTCAAAAGTAGTCCCATAATTTTCGTACGCAGCCACTGGATCATCAGAAAATAAACCCAAATCGAAGACGTACCGAGGTGGTTCCGCATAATTTTGTCCCGACCTTGCCCATTTGCTTATACGATATTTGGTATACAAAGGAATGCCAAGTTCGAGTTGAAAACATACTAACAGTGCGCGATAGAAACTTTTGTTGAGAGTGTAACCTATCTCAACAGCGGTACCACCTTCACAAGATATGTCGGAATTTGGTTTATCAGTGAGATAAGGTCTTGCTGTGTCATTTAAAGTACAGATGATCTTGTTGAAGTCTCCAGCGACTCCTGTTTTGATGTCGACTATTGTACCTTCTCTACAATATACGGAGTGTCCGTTTACATCTATAGCTGTGGGTGTGAATTCACCACCTGGGCATGCTATGTAAATTGGTTCTCTGTAGACAAAGTGGAGGCTGCCGTTGGGTGAAGGTTCTGGGAAGACGTCGCTGCCAACAATGAGAGGAGTGAGTGCAGGGTTAGTCAACACGTCTAAGTAGCAACCTGAAATATTTGTCTGTGTTTTTTTTCGTAACGATTATATAGAAGTTTGATATTACACTTGAAAACTCAAGTGATCACGTAACCTAGACGTTATAATTCACATCGCGTTGTGTCTGTGTAAAATGTGCTTACCTGGAAATACACTACTTGTTGTGGAAAAACCTACAGTTAAAGCATATAAAACAAAATATATAAATGTTTTATTAATCATCATCAGCAATTAGCAGTTAGTCGTAAAAGTTTAATGATCCAATGATTTATTGCTACTAATCCTAAAATTATCAATTACGTCAGTTTTAATCTACTAGTACTGTAATCAGCAGGTAGTGATATTTCGAAAGTATGTTGATAACATCTTAATGAACCACAAAAAAAAAATAAGCAACCGTTATATTCATTGATGCAACTGTCCTTGGGGAGATGTAGTTGTAATGGAATGATATTTTAGTGTGTATAGTATCAATTTTGATTACATATGATTTCAGTTTAGAAAGATGAAACTAAATTACACGAATAAACAAATCAAAATAGTGGAATCTTTTCGTTGGTACATACATAGTTGCCAACAGTGATTAGGAAATAGGATGCAGACAAAATAATATATAAATCGCATCTTATTCCTCTTAATCTAAGTAGAAACATAGTGCCGAATCAGTCTAAGAATGTTCAGTTTTATCCTAGTTGTTATTATTCAACAACTGTTTTTCTTTCAGTTGTAATAATGGTGGATGCGCCGGGATACAAAATGAAGATTCGAATGAGCTAGATAACTCATGCTTAGTGATTTTAGACACAAAAATTAAATTTGAAGACCATGTTGGTTAAGAGTTGTGTAGTTGAGCTTAGTTATAAATATTTACCATTTCTATTCAAAGAAAATATATTTGCATTATGATAGAATGATTCAGGGAGCCATTTTTAATTTTCAACATTTAATTTGGTAACTATGACCGAAGCAAATTTTTCTATTGACATTTCTGAATTATTGGCTGTAATGTTGTTTTGTATGTAAGATCACTTTATCACAGTTAATAATATAGCGACTTTGGTCACTGTCAATTGTGAAATGAGCGAACATAACAAATGTGGTCAGAAAAATGTCAGCTTAGCGTCTTAAATGTCAATTTGACAATCAGATATGCCACCAAAAAATTTTAAATTCATCTGACAAAAAAAAATTGGATTAAAACTATTTACACAAAACTGCTCTCGCCCCTGAAATAAAGTCGAACAAATGTACGTTCTTGGAAAAATGAAAAAATTTAATTTTGCGAATTTAATTTTTTTTCTGATAACTCTTAAAAGTCAAAATAAAGCTATTTGTGTAATGTTAAACTATATATCAGTTTGAACAAGTTTAGTATAATACTGATAAAAACAGTACTGTATGCTCCAATTTTCTGGAAAATAGGATAAACGTTCTTAATTTGATCAATCAAATAAAAGCTGTGGCCCGCCGATCCACGACCGTCTCAACTGCAAAGTAAGTGCGCTACCGGTAGACTACTGCGGTGGTTGTGAAGTTTCGTATTATGCGTGTAAAGAACAAGATGGACCAAACATAAAACAAATATAGTAAGAATAAAGAAAATTAAGGTAGATTCATAAACCACATAGGTACATCTTAGACAATAGAAGGCGGGTGGGTGGGGCTAGCATTCTATAAGATAAGACTGATTTTGGAAAATCACCTACGTTCCAAGAAAATCGAGTGTGGGTGGGCGGGCCTAGTATTTCATAAGTTAAAACTGATTTTGGCAAATGACGTACCTTCTATCAAAATAGAGGGCGGTGGGCGGGGCTAGTACTTTCTAAGAAAAAACTGGTTTTGGCAACTAACTTAGGTACTGTCTTAGAAAATAGAAGGCGGGTGGGTGGGGCTAGCATTATATAAGATATGACTGATTTTGACACTTTTGACATTTTCTACCATTTGTCAACCATTTTCGAAATTAAACTAGATATTTTCTTGTAGATTTCGATATTTAGAATTCATTTTCGGCTTCGTTTTTTTCGAAAATTCCTACTGTTTTCTAATATCGCCAATTGAAATTCGACAATTTTGACAATTTTTTATAAATTTCAATTAAGCCATGTCAAGTACACAAAATAAGAAATAAATTTTATAGCAAATAATATAACAAGCAAGTGAACTATAGCGCTTTTTTTACTTTTTTCGCATCCTAGATTCTTTTAGTTTCCATTCCCACAGCAAAGAAGACCACAAATTGAACTGACAGTTTCGTGTAAATTTCAACATTGAGAATTAATTTTCGGTTTCGTTTTTTCGGAAATTCTTATGGTTTTTCCAATATCGCCAATTGAAATACGGCATTTTTTACAATTTTTTAAAAATTTCAATTAAGTCATTTCAAGTGCACAATATAAGAAATTAATTTTGTAGCGAATAATATATACTCTTTTCACATCTAGATTCTTTTAGTTTCCATTCCCACTCCACAAAAGACCTCAATTAGCCCCGCCCACCCACCCTGCTTCCATTTCACTGATTATTTTATCCGGTCTGAATCAAATGAATGATCTTATACTGAACAGGAATAAAATTAGTGGAAAGAGCAGGTGGGTGGCGGAGTTAGCACTTGCTAAGAAAAGACTGATTTTGGCAAATGACATATCCTCTAACAAAACAGCATGGGTGGTGGGCGGGGCTAATACTTTCTAAGAAAAAACGGATTTTGGCAACTAACATAGGTACTATTGTAGAAAATAGAAGGCGCGTGGGCGGGGCTAGCATTTTATAAGGTGTGATTTATTTTGACACTTTTGACATTTTCGACCATTTTTCAACCATTTTCAAAATTGAACTAGAAATTTTCTTATAGATTTCGACATTTAGAATTCATTTTCGGCTACGTTTTTTCGGAAATTCCTACCGTTTTCCAATATCGCCAATTGAAATACGGCAATTTTTACAATTTTTTAAATATTTCTTAATCTGAGGCAAATCTTTGTAACAGATAATTTTTTTATACATTTCGATAATTTTTAACAATAAAAAATAAGCTGTCGATATTTATACTTAGCATTTATTTATTTAAAACTTCAGAGATTTAGGCTTCGACGTCCTGATTTAAAAAATATTTCGTGTTTCGGAGCCAGAAATATTTGGTTTGAATTTTTTCAAAATTTTGAATATCATCCCATTTTATTATGGTGATTCTGGAACGATGTCAAAAGATATCTTATGTAAGCTGAAAACTATCAAAATTTCTTCAAGTTTTTTTCGATGATGATTCAAAATGGGTCAAACATTTCATTGAAAAATTGAACTTTTGGAACAATTGTCAATAATCCACAAAAAAATTGGGATGTAGATTTCGATATGCTGATTTGAAAAATATAGCAAGTTTGTGGTTGCAGAGCATGATTTCTGGAATATTTGGTTGGAAAAGAATTTTTTTTTTTAAATCTTAAAAGTCGATATATTTCATCTTGTGATTCTGGAAATATGTTATGGATTTTCGAAGAAAAGGAAGCCGAATATAGGATGCATAAAATTAAAAAAAAAAACCTGGACTATAGATCTCAACGTGTCGATTCGTAAGGTAAAGTGCTCCTAGAAAATATTTTTTAAAGAAATTCTAAAAATCCATCTAAAAGTTTTATTACTAGTTATTGTGATAATTAATGTGTTGTTTAATTGTTCAATGTAGCAAAAAAACCAATTTTAAAATCATTATAACTCCACCAGAATGTGAGAGGGAATTTTTTTACTATTTTACCCACACTCAACAGTTCATTGTTAAGAGCGTAGCGAACAGTTAATTCGCCATTTTCCAAACACCCGGTATAATATTCAAATCGAATATTCGTAGGTAGACAACAAAACAACGAAACAAATATAGTTTTTACGTGAGTAATAGGATTTTGTTATAATCCAAGCATTAGTAATATGTAATTAAATTTTGATCAATTCATCCATGTCAAAGATTGCGAAATATGATTTCGAGTGAGAATTGATTACATTTAAACAATTCATCTACGGATTTAAGTTGATAACGAAATTTTATAAATTATTATTTTTTTATTTTCAATCCCTCTAAGCTGCAGATCTTAAATTTAAATCATGAGATAACTGGTCTTTTATTTTGTCAATAAGTTTTGTTTTATTTACTTTTTTAGGACACTGTACATAGATTTACAAAAACTAGAAGCATATGAAGAATATACACTCAAAATGAATGGAGATAAATCCTAATTAGCAATGTACTGTATACCCTTAAGGTGGGTTTAAAATTTGTAAGCAATCAGTTCAATAGTTTCAAAACACATGGTAAAATTCTCAATTATTTTCCGGACTGTTACATGTCAAGGGTTGTATTAACAAACTAAAGTAAACACATTTTTGGTGGTGATGAACATACAAGTTTGGATTAGCGTGTTACCATCTACAATATATTCTTAAAATAGGTAGATAGTAGAACTGTTTTCAATTTTAGAGAATATTTGGCCTTAAATTTAATTGGATTTTTAAATCAAGCCGTTTGACGTGGATATAATAATTTAATTCCATTTGATTTATTATCAAATTATCGAGAGGAGTGTTTTACAGTAATGGTATAAAAATGGCAATAACACACACATACTGATTAGAGCAAATTCGATATTATTTAATGATGGTTCGATACTCAGTCGTATTTATTTTTGCTGTGATTTTCATCAAGTATGAAACACTAGCACAGAGAGGTAACAATAGATGTACAGGGTGAGTCAATAAGCATGCGCTTTCGATATACCCCATTATTATTAAAAGTAGAACATATAATATGTTTCACTTTAACTTGAAACTTAAAGTAAAAAGAAAATGATAAAAAAACGAACTAAGATGGAATAAAATTACACTTTTTTCTGTGTGTATAAATTAATGGGTTATCGACAGGCGCGTAGGTACTTATTAACTCCGCATGATACTTTAATATAAATAATAATTGTTCCTTGATCCTTAATGGTTTGCTTTTTAGGATGTTTCTTTGATGTGATGTCCAACACTGCCACTGCACCCCTCATATTACAAGGAAGTGGATCTTTTGACGAACCTTCAGCCAATGGAAGCATTGCATATGGGTATAGGCAAAGCATGTCGATTGCTTGTCCAGGGGGACAATTCAATCCACCTGGCTTAAAGGTACTTGGCCAAAATATGATTTGCGTAGAGGGTACAAGAATCAAAATTTCAACATCCGTTTATTT